AATAACTGAACTAATATATCATTTTTTGTAAATTTATTAGCAAAATATAGTTTTGATCCAACACGAGAGATATTAGAATGGAATTAAACATATACTATGTTATATTTGAGAAACAATTGATATAAGCTTATATTACTCTAATAAATCAAGACGAGATTGATTGATTATGCGGATGCGAGTTATTTATCCGATCCACACAAAGCTCGATCTCAAACTAGTTATGTATTTACATATGGAGATACAACTATATCATGGCATTCTATGAAACAAACTATAGCTACCACATCTTCAAACCATGCAAAAATACTAGCAATTCATGAGGCAAGTTGAGAATGTATTTAGTTAAAATCAATGACCTATCATATTCGAAAGATATGTGGTTTATCTACTAGCAAGAAGTTCCAACAATCTTGTATGAAGATAATACTGCTTGCATAGCTTAATTATAGGAAAGATATATCAAAAGTGACGAACGAAGCATATATCATCTAAATTATTTTTCATACATGGTCTTCAACGGAATGCCGATATTAATGTTTAACATATTCGATCAAATGACAATTTAGTATATTTATTCACTAAGGCATTACCTATCATAACTTTTGAGAAGATGATTCACAAGATTGAAATGCATCGTCTTAGAGATCTTAAATAATGCTTGTAATAGGAGAGAGCAATATGAGGATTAATGTGTACAAGGAATACTGTACTCTTTTTCCTTCACTCGGGATTTTTTTTCCATTGGATTTTTTTCTAGTAAGGTTTTAACAAGATATATTTTTTATACAATGGACATTCAAAGAGGAGTATTATGAAATAATGAATGTCCATATGAATGTTCATCTACTTTTCATATCTCCACTACTCATGATTCTTAATGTAATTCAATTCATCATTCAATATGAGAAATTAAAAGGGTGATACAATTGATTCAACAAATTATGTACTTTTAATTATTCATAATCTCTTTCAATTTTCTTATCAATTTTGAAGACTATAAATAGACTTGATTATTTATTAGTTGATGTACAAGTTTTTAGAGAGGTTAAGAGAATAATTTAAGGTTCTTATCATTTGTATTCACTTCATAGTGAATTTATTTTCTTATCATCCTTCCTTTCAATTCTCCTATTATTTCTATTTCTTTTATAACATTCTATTTTTATACCATACTTGAAGTTTTTTATATGTTATTAGATTTTCAATTATATTGTAATTTTTAAAATGTTCAATCAATCATTCTGATCAAATTTTTAGATTTTTAGACCATGGATAATTTTTTTTTACCAAAATACCTTTTAGTAAAATATATATATAAAAAAACCACAGACCTTTTAGATTTTTTTTCAATTAAAGATATTTCAGCTAAAAAACTTATTCATAATAAAAAAAATTGATTGAAAAAATAGATTGGACATTTTAAATACTTTCGAAACATATAGAATGTAATTAAAAATTAAAAAATAAATATTATATAAAAAAGATAAATGTATTTATTAAAAAAATTAAAAACCAAGACACATTAATGTGCTTTCAAATGGCAAGTGTCCAATTGTCACGCAAAATTTCTTTATATCTATTCTTGCTTGAGTTAATATTCGATATGATCATATTATGATCAATAATTTTAGCATTTATGCATGCCATAACCGCCCTTGTTGATGCCACTTATGACCACAAACTTTTATTGGCATCAATTTCTATGTGTCACCATTCTGAAAATATTAGGAATAGTATGTTTCAAGGATGACTAATAAGTTAGGAATGGGTTCCCATCTTTGCATTAATCAAGCATCTAAAATACCATTCTATGGCCAAAAAGCCCACAAATTCCCTTTGTATCCGTTAGCTATGGCAAAAAGTTAGGGAAGCCATCGGATTTTGGAGAAACTCATGTTTGGATGTGCCAACTCAATTATCTTAGAAGGTAGCCATTCCTCTTAATAACCAACGATCGAAAGATGCTAAATACAATCGTGATTCCTATGAAAATGCGTTAGGTTTTTATTTTATTTGTTTTACTCAAGGACTAGCAAAATTTAAGTGTAGGGGTATTTGATGAGTGCATAATTAGCTTGATTTTATGCTCTATTACATTGAACTTTCTAATAATTATTATATTATATTATGTGATTTAAGAATAAGATGATGGTTTTGGATTTTGTAAGAAAAGCTACGAATCGAAGTAAGGAGACCCAAAAACCTAAAAAAGAAAGAGAGAAACTTTAAAGAGGCTTAGAAGAGTCACATGATCGTGTGAAATAACAAAGAAAATAGCTATTGGCCATGTAACTTAAAGAAAGAAATAATGTGGATTCTTAAGCACAACAAGCCATACTAATAGAACTATTCCACACGACTAGAGGAAGGAATCTCACACGATCGTGTGGATGACTTAACCTAGAAAAACTCAAGGAAAGAAGAAGATTACAAGGGCGGTAGACTTTGCACACGGTTTGTAGTGCAAAGTCACATGTTTATATCTTCAAAGCAAAGCAAACATACATAGGCGAAAGAGGTTCAACACGGTTTGAAGAAGAAATCTACACGAGATAGAAGCTTGGCAACATAGAATGATGAACAAAGTTACACGACTGTGTGCCACTAGTTAGCAAGCCATGTAATACCTATTTCTAAGGCTCTAAACTGTGTGATATCAAGCAATAAATCATCTAACTTTATGCGTTAAGGCTGTGTAGCCAAGTGGGTCGATACACACATGATGTAACCCTAGTTTTAAGTATAAATAACAAAACTACGGTACTATTTTACTTCACTCTCTCTTCTTCTTCCAATCTTTAGCAACCACTTTTCACGGAAGTTCTCTTTGTAATACATTATGAATAACTAAAATCCATTATTGGTTGAATAAAGTTGAAGCTTTTGGTTAATCACTCGTGAAATTATTGATTTTATTTCTAAACTTATCTCTATTGGGTATTTTATGTTTTTCTACATGATTGGTTCATAGTTGTATGATTAAATTAATTAGAGTGCATGCTAGTTGTTTAGTCATATTACTTATTGCTAGCTAAGTATTCAAATCTATGTAATTGTTTATCTAAACTTGCATGTGGTAGTAATTAGGGGTTGATGAATATGTGATGTTTTCGTTCAATTCCTTAGAAAACATAGAACTACGTAATATTTTCTCTAGCGCTTAGGAAAGTGACTTAGCTTTACTTGTCTTTCTTATCGTAATGCTCGTTATTGGATTAAATCTATCTAGTGCTTAGTAGGTTGTTCAATTGCTAGAGAATTAATTAGGTATCGTATATTCAATTAATAACTAGGTAAGGAAAGACCGAGGTAAACATACATGTTGTTATCTTACGGTGAATATTCATGTTTAGGATAAGTTAATTATATAATCAATGATCGGTGATCAAACTAAAAATGGATATTGAAGTTCAATTAAAGCTTCTTTAATATTATCATTCTCTCCTGCTTTCTAGTACTTTCAAATATTCCAAACACATAAACCCTCCTTTTACACTCGCAAGAACACTCAAACAATCGAAACAATTGACTAATTCCTTTTTTTTGTAGGTTCGACTCTTACTTGTCCTAATTACATAACCGTAATTGAAAGCTCTATAAAGATAAATATAAATTACTAATTTGTTAGCGGTACGATATGCCATCAATGCATATGAGATATTTTGGATAAAAAAATATTTTTTTCAAATATTTAGAGAAAACAACCATATATATATATCTTTTATCTTTTTCTTTTTATAGTCCTTTTAAAAAATTATTTATTTAAATTGATAAAAAATAGACTAGATGGATGAGATTAAGACAAAAAAAAAAAAAATTGACATGCGTTACGCTATTGGTTCATAAAGTTAACAAAAAAATAAAATTAAGGCAAAAACTAAACCTAAATAGATAAACTTTAAAAAAAAAAAACAAAAGATAGAGAAACGCGTTAAAAATGTAAGGAAAAAAAAAGTAACTCTTGCAACCACTACCCCTGTTTGCTAATAAGCATTCTCCGCCTTGCTAGCCTTTTCTGTTTTCGTCGAGTGAAAAATAAATAGTGCTAACCTGTATGAGGATGCGTTTGGCTATGAAACAAAATGGGCTCCATCAGATAGATATCTATGAAAGCCTCATGATCTATCCATCCTTCAAATAATAGGACATAAAGTTGCTATCTTGTCATACCATAATAAATAGGTTCAAAGCATAGGGTTATTATTGAGGGAAATTAATAAATTTTTATAAATATATAAAACCAAAATAAAAAATATGTCTTTAAAATCGTGAGGAGATGAGATTTAATATATAAATTGATCCAAAAACATATTTTATTATTAAATAAAAAATTATCAATATAATAATTTTCCAAAGGGAAAAAGAAAAAAAATAGATGTTTGATTTACTACTATCCCTTTCTTACAATGAATAAATTAAGTTTTTCCTTTTTATGAAAGTATAAAGATAAAAGCGCATGCCATTAGTTATATAGTAAATTATAAATTAATCTTTCTTATTCGGTAGGAATTAAATAATTTTTTAATTTTAAAAATTAATTAATTAATTATGTGATCATATTTAACGTAATATTAATTTATCTAAAAAAAGAATATTTATTTATTTTTTAAGCTTTTTAATATACTAAAAAAAATAAATTAGAAAAAAACATGAAGTAAATAAAAAAGTTAATAATTAATTTTTTAAATTAGATAAACTATCTAATTCCTTTTCCAAAATTAGAATAACTAATTTATAATTTACTCATTAGTTACAAGGGGCAAAGCAATATTATTTTTGCATTTTTCGACTTCTCGGTGGTCAAGGAAAGGGCGCGGCGGCGCGCCAACCCATTGTGATTGATGATACCTTCCACGTGGTAGAAATCTACTGGACATCAGCCAGATCGTTATTTTCCCCAAATTTTAATAGACTAGTAGTACTAATTTTTTGAAAAGTAATAATTTCTCTCTTCTTCTCTTTGATCGTCAAATCCAAAATCCAAAAGCAAAAAGAGAAGGATGGAAACAATAGATCAGATTGAGGGGGACGATTGTTACTTGGATTATCTGGATATTTTATTGGGGCCTGCTAATTCTCTCAGCAACAGGTATTTTTCGTCCGTTACTTATCTTAAGTTTTTTGCCTCTTTTTTTTTTTTTTTCTTTTTAATTTCATTTTCTTGTGTATTTCTGTTTCTATATAATTTTATTTTTTTATATAAAAAATTATGAGAATCGACTGGGTTTGCATTTTATGTAAAAAGAAAGAAAAAATTATTTGGGGTTTTTATTATATGAATAAATCTAATAGGGATTTTGGCAGTGTTAAAAGAGTAGTAATTTCTTTTGACTTTTGCAGTTAAAGTGTTAAAATGTTTGGGAAGGAGATCTGTAATAGCTTGAAAATAGAATAATTAATTTTTTTTATGATTAGCTGCAGTCTGATATTTTATTGGGTCTATTATAGTATTTGCAGTGGTGGTGGTGTTGTGGATATTGATTTTTCATCTAGTGGTGGTGTAACACAAGAAGAAAAAAGTTTGCGGAAGAGGTATTAATCTGCAACTTTTTTTTTTTTTTTTTATTTGTCGAAGCCGAAACTTTGAAATTGAATGCAATGCTTTTGAATAGTTCATAGAGCCTCTTTATGTTGTTTTTGCACTATTTACAGATTTATGTTTAACAAATTCATCTTGAATAGAGTTATATGAATGTATTTATGCTAATTTTATGCGTGTCATAGAAGGAACTGTTATAGCTAGAGAAGTTCAGCAGATGAAAATAACACAACACATTTGGCTCTTCTTTTTTCTTCTGTGACTGCTGAATTTATACATTGAATTCAAGTTTGTTGACGGAGAGTAACTATCCAAATAATAGAAATAGTCTGCTCTCATTTCTATATATGACGATCTGCTTTTGTAAAATTTGCTATGCTTCTACTGCAAATATCTTTTAAAAAATTGGCTTCTAAACTGAATCAGGCTTTTGAGATTTGAGAAGTGTTGAAAATAAGATGCGTGGAAAATTTGGCCCATGTTTACTTTTGCTTGTATCATCAATTTGTGGTTGCTCAAACTTGTTTCTTCTTAACCATGTGGAGTTTGTAGGTTTTGCAATTAGAGTGCATTTAACTAGCTGTATTAATTCTTTTCATCCTTGTGGTATTTTTGTTTTTTCCTCTAAAGCACTATTGTATTAGTGCATATAGATATATCTCTTCATTTCCCATAGCACTACGTTTTTGTTTGACGATTTAAATGTTGCAATGATAAAAGTCCAAAGCCATAGCATACGCCATACTTTGGGTTTGGGTTTTCTATTTAACCAACAGAGTAGGCTATGCGTTTCCCATTTTCTCGTTTGGCAGGAATGGGATGTTCTATTTTTCTACTTTGGTAGGAATTAGATTTTCTTTTGATGTGATCCTGTTTCTATCAATGATATATAGGGGACGCAGTGATTCATGTAGCAGAGCAGGGAACAAAGCTTGCCGCGAGAAGTTGCGGAGGGAGAGATTGAATGACAGGCATGCATCTTGTTCAATCAGATATATGTTTATGCCTTGAATTTATTTGGTTTTGAATTTGCAGTTTAAGCTGCTATATTATAAAATACAACTAACATTGAAATGAGCGTATTGTAGGAATGTTTAAATTTGAGTTGCTTATATTTTCAATTTCTTTAATTGGATACTATTGATGTATTGCTATTGTCTAAGCTTTTCACAATTATTTGTCTTTCTTATGTAGAATGGAGAAGATAATAATAGCAAGTAATAGTTTGATGAATAAATTTTCCTCATGACTGCAGGTTTCAAGATTTGAGCTCTGTTTTGGAATCTGGAAGACCAGCCAAAACTGACAAATCTGCCGTACTAGATGATGCTATTAGAGTTCTGAACCAGCTAAGAAACGAGGCTCAGGAGCTCAAAGAAACTAATGAAAAGCTTCTAGAAGAAATCAAAAGTCTGAAGGTGGTCATTTCCATCACACATTCAATTACAACAGTTGATATTTCTTTCTGCAGTTTCTGCACTGCATGGGAATATGATCCCTTTATTTGACTATCCTATGATTGTTCAGAAATCCAAAAGATCTGAAACTACTAGATTATCTAATCCTAGTATTATCTACCGAATTTCATTTTTGGTTCTTTAAATCTTAGGGACAGAGATGTATTTATTTCCAACCATATCGTCTATTTCTAGTCTTTTTAGAGTTATTATTAAAGGAAGAGCTTGCCAAAAGTGGCATCTGTTAACTATAGTTGCTAATTTTTAATGCCTGATTCCTATATTCTTGATTCTTGAATTGAATTTATATTTAAGGTGGTTGATGCATTTGAATCTTCTTCACATCACACCTGAAAGTTTTTCCTATAGACCTGAGAGTGGGCTTTCTAATTTTCTTCTCCTGCAACAGGCTGAAAAGACTGAACTCCGTGAAGAGAAAATGATGCTCAAGGCAGATAAAGAAAAGATGGAGCGACAGTTGAAAGCTGTTGCAGTTCCACCTTCTGGGTACATGCCAACCTATCCAGCAGCCTATCATGCTGGAGCCAACAAGATGCCAGTCTTTCCCAGTTATGGTCTGATGCCAATGTGGCAGTATTTACCTCCAGCTGCTTATGATACATCGCGTGATCATGAGCTCAGGCCACCTGCTGCATGATTTTTTTTGTTCATGAATATCCTGATAGCTTTCAGATGCTGTATTCTAGAATTTTCTTGAAATGTAAATATAACTTGCTTTGCACTTAACCTGATTTTGACAATTCAATTGGCAAGTGTATTGCTGGAGATTGCTAGGAAGGCAGCTAGATTGCAAGTATTTTCTCGGGTAAATTATCTCTACTATGTGATTGTATATTAGCATTTTGATTTTTCTAGGAACTTCAGTAGCTTTCCTACGAGTCCCAGATCCTGATTATTTTAACATGCTCTTGCTACAGAAGCTTGACATGTATTTTACTCTGAAAGACAACAGTGGTTTTGTTATATAGTGAACATTTTTTTTTTTTACAGTGATCTTGACTCCTGTGGCCCATTTTTTATTCATATCGAGTTTTTGTCCATGAAGTAGCAGAGAAGCAAAGCACATCTTAACAAGAGAATATTATTAATGTTACAATCAGATCCTCTGTGATATCTGACGATAGGTCGATACAGAGCACATATACCGGAATAATTTTTTCAATTTGCATTTCATTTAAATCTGAAGAAACACGTATGAAATTTCTGTGTGGGCTATTTTTCCCCCCCCCCCCCAGCATGTTTTTCCTCCTGAAGCATCTCTCTCAGGCTACAACACTCTTTGTATCCTAAGTTCCTTTTGCTCATCGTAGCCCAACTGAGATTGTTCTTGTTCTTTACTGTGAACTTGCTGATCTCCCTCTTTGCCCCATAACAGCAAATACAAGCCACCGATGACGACAACAGCCCCTAGTATGCTGTACAAGCCACGTACATACGAACATTTAGGTCAACATTTCAGTCACAAAATACGATTCAGTACTTCATTTGGATCTACTTTCCTTAGCCTCTTTTATTATTAAGAATTGAAACTTCACAACAACGATGGTCACTATCAACTGGATAGGTTTACGAGAAATAATACACTACATCTCAGGAATTAGTCAGACATGATTTGATAAGAAATAAATTCTCCCGAAAAAAAAATGTTGATATTATCATCCCATATTGTATCAGTTTGTGTTTTATATATGAAGGGATGTATATATATAAATTTTTAGTTACCTGCCCAAGTAAAGCTTTTCACCTAGAACGAAGTATGCCAGAACTGCCACTAAGATGGTAGAAAAGGGATTGAACATGGTTACAAAAACTGGTCCTTTTTCTTCCGTGCACCACAGTTGAATGAGGACTATCAAACCAGAGACCACTATTCCCTGCCGTGTGTGATTCACAATAAGAATCCTGTCAGGAATATTCTAAGTAACCACTGTTGACTAACTCTGATGTACTTGCACTTGCATCACTTACACCATAGACAGTAGACCAGAAGTCGATGTCAAATCCGATTGTCCACGCAGCTCGAGTATGATGTACAATCACCGTGAAGACGGCTGATTGTGCAGCCCCCACAAAGCTCATCCATGTAGTCAGCGAAAGTAGTGCAGGATACCTTTTCAGAGTCAAAGCCTACATTTTTAAGGAAAATTAGCAGCATGTTCAGGATAAAACATCCCAGTCGTTAATAGGAAAATATATGTTTCTTTTCTGACTTAATTGCTTCGATACCTGTAAAAATAGTATATATTTTTTAATAAATTTCATCCAAGTTAATGAATATTATACATGCAGTTTAGTGAACTGTAGTTTGAGTTGGGGTTAAACCTGCATAATATACCAAACGGACCATGTTACGCAGCTTGTAACAGTAAGAATCGAACCCTTTAACCAGCTCTCATGGTTGTTGCCAGTCTTTCCTTGGATATGGATTAAAGGATGCCATAGATGTTTCATAACAGGACCTCTATATAATGTCATAGTCATTACACCAACCAAGGAAATCAAAGTCCCAAGAACTTTTGCCATCCCACGAGGATTTCGAATATCAAGAACCTCCAACCTGCTTAAAATTTTGTAATTTAGAATAATTCACTATGTAGTATATTACCAGCTGAAATTTCTTAACTAGAATAATTAACTGTTTAGGCACTTTCACCTTTCTAATTATAATTAACAGTGCTACTTACCTGAGCACAACTGCAATTACGAATGTCAAAGAAGCGATAGTGTTCATCATTGATACAACAAAAGTTGGAGAGGTGTATCTCAAGCTTACAAAGTACATGTTCAGAGTTAAACCCACCCTGCAATCATCAAAAGGCACTTTGGTCATCAAGTTTTTTCTCCTTCTTCTCTTCTTCCCACCCCGATGCTTATATAAGTATTGCATGTATGTTCTTACCCCAGAAGAGAGAGAATGAATATCTCTAGGAAAAGAGCAAACGTCAGCTTCGGCCTTTGTTTTCTGCAGGAGAGAAAGATAATTAGCATTTATGCATGCAAAACTTTCATACAAGTCAGTCATAAGTATCGACATACAAATTATGTACCTTTCAAGAAAATAGGCAAAAGGAAACATCACCACACCAGATACAATATGTCGGTAAGTTATGTACACGTTAGGATTCATTCCATGGTTGAAAGAAGCTTCAGTGATAAAGTATTGGAAAGTATAGCCAAACTGTGCAATAACCATCAACAGATGTGGCTTGAACCTAGTAAGAAAGCCCCCAATGTTGCACGCTGCCGATGCCATTGGCTTTCTTGCCGAGTCTCCCAGTAATTCTTCTTCTTCACAAGCTGAAGGCTTAAAGAACACAATACACATAAATATAGAAGATAATGGATGGGTTTTTTTAATTTGATTCTTGTTGCATGTTGCTGTTAGTATCATGTTCTTGATTAAATGCTCTCTGATATACTGATGGTTCCTTGACTCATATTTTAGATGTATAAGATAATTAATGAAAGAATATTCTCTTGCATGTTGTCATCTCAGGAATCACTAAAATTTTTAACATGGAACCCATTGATTTGTGTCATGGACTTTGGTTAGTTAAATGCGATTTCAATTGGTTCTTAAAATTATTAAAACATGCTGAGGAGTCTTTTGTTGGCATTTTTGTAGTAAATTACAGAATTTATGCTTCTTTTGCCCTTTCCTTTTCATTTAATTTTCTTCTTCATGTATAGCAGATTGCATTGATCCTGATAACTACATTTGCAGGGACTTGATGTTATCACGGATGCTGATTAAATTTAATGTTAATTAACACTTACAATCATACGCAATCTTCCCTTTTATTTTTGATAGGGACAGAACTCCTTACCACCAAGACAATATTATAGCAAGAAACTTTCCAATATTCTAACTTTGAAATGGTTACAATCAAAACAAAAGTAAAATACAAGTGAGTAATAACACTTTACTATAACTGTTCTTTATCTTTCTATTACTTGTACAATCAAAACACTATCTCTTCTTAACAAGTAAAATCTTTATTAGAAATAACTAGCCAATAAAATTTTCTCTCTCCCTTCTCTCTTTCTCTCGACAGGACCTCTTCCCTTAATAAGTAAAATCTTTAGCAGAAATAACTAGCCAATAAACTTTTTTCTCTTTTCTCTCCTCCTCCTCTCTTTCACTCAACAAAACCTCTTATCTTAACAAGTAGAATCTTTAGCAGAAATAACCATCCAAACTAGCCAATAAACTTCTCTTCCCTTAATAAGTAAAATCTTTAGCATAAATAACTAGCCTAACTAGCCAAACTAGCCAATGAACTTTTCTCTCAACAAATTAAAACATTTCCTCATAAACACTAGTTTGGGCTATCCTCGACAACCTTTTTTTTTTTAATTATATTTTTTTTCTTATTTTCTTTGATATGAATGAGATTTTTCTCATCATTTTGTTTATTTCTTATCGGTCCTGATATTTTTAGGTCTAATTTGTAGGTATGATTCTCTCTTTGAACAAGAATTTTCTATTTCCAAATTTGGGAGAATAGGTCATTTGAATAAAGATTTTTAAATTTCTATCTTGTTCTTTAAAAGAGATTGACATCTATTGACAGAACTAGAAGACTTAAAAAATAAAAAAATAAAATAAAATTTGTTAGTATAATTCTCTCTTTGAACGAGAGTTTTATGTCTCTAGATATGAAAGATTAAATCATTTGAATAATGATTTTTTTAGCACTCTATTTTTTTTTTTCCTTTTAGAGGGGATTGACGTCCATTGGTAGTACTTGAAAACTTAATTCTTTCATCAATAGGGTCTCATAGTGTGGTCTGTTCCTTCATTGATTTAGGATAGATGGTATTCTGTTTCTTTATTGATCTATGATCTATGGTATTTGTCTGCATCCTTGATGAGTTGGAAGAAGAGTCATGTTTTGGGAAATCCTAATTTATGAAGTTCATAAATCTCTATTTTAGTCCATGTCCATGAAGGGACTAGATTTTACCTAAAAGATATTAACATTCACTAAAATTGTGAATGTTTTTGTCATATTCTTTTTTTCTCCTGTTAATAGAAGTTAAAAGAGCAAGTTTTTTTTGTCATATATATATATATATATATTTTGTTAAAAGATGTTAAGATAGTAATTTATTTTGTATCAATTTGATATTAATAAAATTAATTTCTTTCTCATAAAAAAAGTACCTTTATAAGAAAAAGATAAAAGATGCAGTACTTATTCCCCAATTTTTCATTTTTTTTAATTATAATGCAAATTGGTCACTAATCAGATATTCATACTAATATAGAAATCATTAATCATGTTTAAATATTATACCTTGCGCCGCAGAATGATTCTGTAATGAGAAAATGGGTTTTCAGAATGTTGGAACAAAGTGAAGAGAGCTTTAATTTGGTTCTTCATGGCATTTATAATATTCCTTTTGCTAACGCCTTTTTTTTTTTTTTCCCTACTTTTTGCTATCAACCGAACTATTTTTCTTATGATTACCACCTAGCCATACATACATACATACACACACATATATATGTGTATGTGGCTATTATTTTCTTGTGTTGAAATTCAATTTAATTAAAAGAATCAAGGATTAATTCTTTACCATTTGTTTTGGTATTATGTTAAAAACTACTCAACTCATTAGTTTAAGTTACAGGTTGAAATATCTATCTATCTAACCACTATATATATACATACATACATACATATATATATATATATATATATATATATATATATATATATAAATTTTTATTCTTTTTGTTCTTCTTTATTAATTAAAGCCACTATATTCTTAATTTCCACTATGTATAGATGTGAATCTGTACCCTTGCTGTGCTTCAACTGAGGGAATTTACACAGGAAATTTAGATTTTGAGAGTTGTATAACGTGAAAACGTGGATCTGGAGTTAGAAGTGAACTTTTTAGTTTCTTGAAACCTGGCCTTGAAATTTTTATTCTTCTTCTCTAGTATTTTAAGACGAATAAAATTGATTTCTAACAAAAGCTTTTTATAGAAATTTATCTTCAATTAACACGGAAATTTCTGTAATCCAAAGACAATGGTATAGAAAACTATTACTCAGAGAGTTTCTGGAAATAGTTTCTATAATGTTTTTGAACTATCGCATAGTTTTTCAAAATGATGTCAAACATTTAGATGATAATTTTGGATTCTGGATGAAATGTTCTTCGCCAATCACTGGATTTTGCATGTATGGATATACATGCTATCACAAATAATTACGTAAAAGGAAGAATGCCTTTCACTGTGTCTTCAAAGGCAATTGTAGAAAACCTCAAAAGGACACTTAAAAGTACTCATATTTTTTTATGATAAAAAAAAACAAAGTACTTACATTTTTACGTTTACACGTTAGGGATAATTCCTTGGGATGCATGGGGGGCCATGGCCCCTTGATTCTTCGAAAACTTTTGTATCCTATGGTGTATATCACATTGTTACAGCCAAGTTTTTTTTTTTTTTTTTTTTTTTTTTTTTTTTAAAAAAAAAAATTTGTTCCATGCATATAAGTGATACATTTATGATCAAAATACATGGAGCCACACAATAAAAATCAAAATTAATTATGATGGGAGTAAGTGTACTAGTAAAAAAAAAAAAAAAAACCCCAATAAATCTTAAAATCCAATCAAAAGTAAAACTATATAATATATCTTTTACCCACTAAATCTTAAAATACAGCCGCAACAAATGTTCCTCTAAGTCTCTCTTTCTTTGTAAATTAACAGAAACACGCATATCTCTACAATCATTTATGAATCCTGTTGCTTTTTTCCTTTTTATATGATTTCTTTAATATTTGAGTTTGATTTTATTTTATTAATTTTTTTTCTTTTATAGAATTCATCTTCTGTTTCTTCTTTAAATTTAATTTAATAAGATTTTTTTGGTTTCTAGAAAAGTAAATTGCAACTAAGGTGGGCTTCTGAGAGTTTTTTTTTTTTTTCTATAATTTACATATAAATTTTTATACTCGTTATGTGACATTCTGTAATAGTTGCTTTTCAAGTGGCCTTACAAATGGTAGTAATCACAAAAAGATGTGTTGGATTCTACTTATATAGATTTCCAAAATCCTTTTGATTTATCAAGACGATTGAGATTCATATTCGTGATGGAATAAGGGCTGTTAGATCTACTTTCATAAAAACCCTAGCATGCATGGGATGTGATCCATTTCTCGTTCATTCGTTTGGACATAAAAACTCTCAAAAGGCCAGACAATCTCTTTTAAGAATGCTGAAGGCAAAATGCGAGAGGGAAACCTGGTAGCCTTACCTAGATTAATCAAACATGTGTATTTATCAAATAAAGTTACTTTTTTCAACCTTAAATTTTTATATATATTTTTTAGGTTTATCACTTTTTATGTTTGGTATTCTAAAATTTTATTTAAAAGATTTGAAGTTAAGAAAGTTCATCTCACACATATTTATACAGACTTACACATATATTGATATTTAATACTTCAGCTTTCTTGAAAAAAAAAAAAAAAGGTCTGAATTCCGCCATTAATTGTACTTACAGTATTGCAGGGTGTAAGAATGGAGGATGATGCCACTTATAGACGTTCAACAACAGCTCTCCCGCTGGAGTCACAACTCTGGAAACTTCTATAATGTTGGATTTAAAACCTACAAAAACTATAACAAAAACCAACAATATTATGAATACAAAGTAAAAGTTAAAAAAATGGCAGTGATAAAAAAAGAAAAAGAAAAATAGAAATTAGCATACCAAGAAAAGAATGAAGAGTACTAGCTAGCGTGAGTAGGAGTGACAAAACGAAGTGATGAAAACTCGACAAAAAAGCCTGTACATTTAACCATGGGAAAATAGTTGGTGCAATATGTTTGAACTCAAATGCCAACTGTGAGAAAGAAGCAAAGTGGTGTTGGTAACTGGTTAGAGTGTGTGTTATGCGTGGCCATCATTTGCCAAAAAAGCTGAAATGTTATGTTTCCTCGCGTATTATCTTTGTTTCCTAGCTGATTTTTTGACCAGTGAGATTTGGTTTCGGTGAGGTAGACTTGTAAGCGAAAACAGTTCAATCAGTTAGGAAAAGTTGGAGGACATCATTCCTCCTTCCGTGTGAAGCTCAACCCGGAGAAACAGGCAAGCAACATGGCGTAGTTAGTTTGTAGTCTGCAGGACAGAGACAGTTCCCTCTTGTTTTACTTTGATGAACTCAACAAGAATCCAACAGTTTTTAGTAGACGACTAATTTTTTATTAATTATATACAATACATGTCTATATATGTATCAATGTAATCTATTTTGGAAAAGATCTTTTTTTTTCCTCTTAGGTTGTGTTTGGTTATTAGAAACAGATAAGTTGTTAATAATTTAACATTAACTTTGAAGATAAAGAATTAAAAGGATGGCTTAAGTGCAGCATCGAGGTATGTGGTCTGATATATAGTAAGTGGAGAGATTGGCTTCATTTTCACTACTTTCGGATTAGTGCAAAAACGTTATTATTATTATTATGTTTTTTTTTTAAAAAAATTCCACCTTCAACCGTTCTTAGACACTCTTAATGCTTTATACTTTAATTCTTAATATATATATAGAGGTACGGTTAAATTTACCGGTCAAATGGTTATTCCCATCGTTTTCTTTTTCAAAAAATTACCAATACACCATTCACTTATATTTTTTATATAATAGTTATTGTTAATTGGTAATAGTTTAAAAAAATGATAAAGATAACAATTTAATTGATAAATTTATCGATTTTTATTTTAAAAATAGTGAGAAAGAAACAATACATATTACTTAATTAACAGACTATAACTTTTGATATGAATGTCTTTTTGGCATAAATTATATCAATTCGAAAAATTTATGTGTAAGTTCATAACCCTCTACGTTCTTCTATTATTGTTTTTAAAATTAAAATCTACTTCGAAAACTAATTTTTTAGTGTTTTTCTAGTTGTCTGGACTCACAAAACTTGTCAAGGTTGCTTCAGTTTTGGAAATTAATACCTTTTGATTTTAATTTTTTTTTTATTAATTTCAGATTTATAGTTTATTTTTAATTTAACTCTTAATCAATTAGAACAAATTATGTAGACTGTTTGTAAACCTTTGACTGCTGTTATATTATGAGTTTTTTGCAATTTTCTATACTATTTTTTAAAGAAAATTTTAGAACTAATAAACTTTGTATCATATGCAACCTAAAATTCCAAACCAAACAAAAGCTTATGTTGTTGCAAAAGGGGTTAGGCATCCCAGAATTTGGTTTTAAGTAGAAACCTAGAAAAAAGAATTATTGTAATTAAGATACCTTGGTGTGTGGTCCAAATTTAAAAAAAAAACGAAGAAAAGGCAACAAACAACAACCAGTCATTTGAAAAAAATAAAAAATTAAATATACTTATCTAGTTTTATACCATACTGGAAGTTTTTTTATATGTTATTAGATTTTCAATTATATTGTAATTCTTTAAAATGTTGAATCAGTTATTCTGATTAAATTTTAATATTTTTAGACTATGGACCATTTTTTTATACCAAAATGCCTTTTAGTCAAATATATATATATATATATCACAGTCTTTAGATTTTTTTTTTCAATTAAAGATATTTCGATTAAAAAATTTATTTATAATAAAAAATTGATTAAAAAAATAAATTAAACATTCCAAATACTTTCAGAAACGTATAAAATATAATTAAAAATTAAAAAAATAAATATTATATAAAAAAATAAATATATTTATTAAAAAAATTAAAAACCCGGACACATTAATGTGCTTTCAAATGGCAAGTGACAATTGGTCACGCAAAATTTCTTTATATCTATACGTGCTTGAGTTAATATTCGATATGATCATATTATGATCAACAATTTTGGCATCTATGCATGCCACAACCGTCCTTGTTGATGCCACTCATGACCACAAACTTTTATTGGCATCAATTTCTTTGTGTCACCATTCTGAAAATATTGGGAACAGTACGTTTCAGGGACGACTGATGAGTTAGGAATGGGTTCCCATCTAAAATACCATTCTATGGCCAAAAAAGCCCACAAATTCCCTTTGCATTTGTTAGCTATGGTAAAAAGTTTGCCGTCAGATTCTCGAGAAACACATTTTTTTTTTTTTTAAATTTAACTTACACACCCCCAAGTCTCCGAGGGTTTGAGGCTTGGGTTTGAACTGTTGCTCTTTGTAAGAAACTCATGTATGGATGTGCCAACTCAACTATCTTAGTCTCGATTGTAAGTATTGATAGTTATCCTGAAATAATACAAAAGTTCTCGCTTGCCTAATATTCTTACATATTGCAAAAAGTTCAGCTTGGTCAGAGTTCCAAACGCTGCAAACGGGATTTCGTGGCTGTACGATTATCTAAGAAGAAATTGTACTCGATATGCTTTCTCTCTTCTTATAATATATAAATATATAGGCAAATTATGCCCCCACCTTCGCTGGTGCTGGTTCTCATGTTGAGTTTAACCAGTTATGGATAACAAAATCATACAGTTGCCCATGTTTTTAAAGCTGAATACACTCGTATACAACGAATTAAGAGACATTAAAAGAACCCTAGTTGCCCATGATTCCAACTAGATAGTTAAAAAGATGAAAAAGAATTTGGTCGAATGATGGGCTTGAAATTTTCTCTCTGTTTTTCTCTCTTTATTTTTTATTTTTTAGTTCAACAGTGAACTAGCCCATGAGTCCAATTCATAGAGCAGGAGAGGGGCGACAGGTGACAAGGAAAATCAGGGAGTTGATTGACAATTAAGACGTTTCTTTTTTAACTCACTCTCTGTCTCTCTAAAAGTATTTTGAGCTGGTCAGGCGATTTCACTTGAAACAAATCGAAGTTTTGAAAATCATTATGACATTCTTCTTGTTTCCTTTTGTATTGACACTGTAAGAAAATCAAAATTTCTATGAGACAGATGACCTTTTTAGTGTCATCAATAGACACTACATTCTAACCTGCAGCCAATAGCCAAAGCATAATTAGAGATGAAATTGCAATTGCTATCCAGCTGAAAAATGCTAATGCAACTGACATTTGGTATTTTTGGCATTCACCCACAAAACCACAATTCCCCAAGTCATGGAAGTAGAGCACTGTGATGCCTGCTGAAGCTGAAGCGGCTGCAAGAGACAATATTGCCGTCACCTGAATACAAAATTATAAAAATTGGCACTGTCAAACGACAATCATATGAAGACGAAGCTAAATTGGATTTAGTACTATAAGCTTTCAAGAACAATAAGAAGGTTTCATAGAGGCCGACCCAGTCTCCAACGACAAAAAAGCTGAGCAAGACTGTGTTGTGGAGGGCCTTCTTTCTCACCAAGGCATATGCATCCAATAGTGCAAGACCAAAGCTCCAGATGACTTGCAAACCCATCGAAGCAATGAGATAGCTGTATGGACAAGGAAAAGACATTGGCAATCGACAATAAGTTGATCACAGTGTGACTGGTGAATGATCAGTTTATCAAGCCAAAAATACATAATGTATTGTATAACCATCTTCCTCACAAAAGATGCTGTTATTAAAGTCAACAAAGTTAAGAAATAATGATACATGGCTTAAGGCTCCTTATTACCACCTCAGATTGGCCTAAACATGGTCGAACAACTGGTAGGACATACTTGGAGACAAATTAATTGTGGGAACTTAAAAATGGCACCAACAAGTGATAAGATTATAGAAAGACAGCACCAGTAAGAAGTAAATTAAGCACTACAGAAAATATGTTACAGAAACAATACAAGTCAACTAAAATTTGAAGGCACTGCAAGAATGAAAGCAATAGCAGGAAAAAAAAAAGGAAAGAAGGCACTCATGGTGTTCCATAGACAGTAAACTAAAAAGTGCGCAATAGCAGTCAACTATAACATATGCAGCCATAAAAATGGAAGGCCCCTTCACAAAGAGCACCATGATAATTCTCCAACTAAATTTCAACTCCGTGGAGTACGTATTATAAGTCTAAGCACTGATCATGTTAGTTCAGTTAAATTTCTGAAAATCATGACTAATAATTTGAATCAAAACCTTTTGGCCCGGGTTCAAAACATTCCAGTAAAAAATTTTAAGTCTTCATAATTCATTTTCTTTTTTGCTATATCAGTTCTGTGTGATGCTTGTGAGCACCACCAAACCGATAAGTCCAGAGAAGCATTTCCCTATGAAATGTAGCTTCCACTTTTGAAGTTATTCACTTGTTTGTCTGTAGAATCTTTTCACCATCACGTCATTGTCAGGACTGCGTGACCCAATAAATTTATGTTCAAGAATGCAAATTATGTAGCTTAGGCATGTTTTATGGATTCAGCAATTTCCTTAGGCAATTATAGATGTTGTGGAACTTTGGAAAGCAAATCACCAGCATGGAATTTTCAAACTAAGTTTTGCGACCTTTTTACTTGTATATATGTATAAAGGAACAACTTCGGTAGTGCATTCAATCCATTTCTTCTGTTAATGGTAAACGAGAAAAGAGGGTCTCTCTCCAGCAGAAGCCATTGGTAACAGACTAGCAGTGAAAGATGCCAGTTTGCTATTCAATTCATAACTATCATTACTATCAGGACAAACATCTAAATTTCTTAAGAAAAGGAGGTCATTACATAGTTATGAGTTTCTTGCAGAGAATTAGCGATAAAAATATCATCAAGAGAGTAACTGTGTCTTAAATCACGTCAAATTATAGATGCAAAAGCAATTAAAACACAGAAGCCTGGAATTTGCTACATATGGATCATATCAACTTCTTCTAATCCAATTCTAATCCTAATTAAGTAAAGCATATATGTAATGAAAAAAAATTCAAATAGCAGCTCAAAATTAAATTCAGAGAAACGTATAAATAGACAGAATGATATGAATGGGGAAAGAACTAATAATATAATACCAGAAAGCAGTGAAATTGAAGAAGCTATTAGTGGTGGCCATGGCAGCAATGGAGCCAGCTGCAAAAACACACTGCGAAAGCCTCAAAGCAAGCCCAGTCAAAGTCCCTGGACTCCCAGCAAAATCCCTCATGTTTTTTTTTTTTTTTTCCACCACCACCACCACCAATTTCAATAAAGTTTAACCTCTTGATGGGTCAACGAAAACACCCATCTCCTCAAACCATCAACAAACCAAAAGCAGCAAAGACCCTTAAGACTTTACAGAGGGATATCAAGAAAACAAATGAAAAAAAATATGAGAGACCCAGAAATTGAAATTGAATCCCCAATTGGGGAGAATGAATTGAATGTTGGAGGATGAAAAAGAAGGTAAAAATACGCTGCAAGCAATGGATAGGTGGAAAAAAAGGGAAGAGAGAGAACAGAAAGAAGGACAGATCGTAGGGTACATGAAACAAGTGGAATGAAAGAGATTATTAAAATGGGAAAAGGTAAAGAAGAAAGATTTTGGAGGCTTGATATATATATATATATATATACACGCACACACATGATGATGACGATGGTCGTCATAAAAAGGGTTTAATCAGACACCAGCGGCACTCAATTCCCACCAAGTCAAACTTGCTCGCTTGAGCTATTAGCAGGAGGAGTGTACGATTTTCTTTCTGAATTAACTAAAGAAAAAACCACCCTTCTTTTCTAGGATTGTTGTCAATGTTGCCATTTATCAATCTCATTCGTCAATTTTACCCTTAATTTTATCTGACATTTTTTTAATACTGTACTTCATCCTGTTCTTCATCCAAATCTTTTAATCGAATCCTGATTTTATTATAGGCACTTAAAAAGAAAGAAGATGAAAGTAATTTAAAAACTAAATTTTATTTTTTTACCCATTAACTTTGTTTATTTCATTATGTTTAAATTCTAATTTTGAAGTTGCCATATATATAAACAATGATTTTATAAAAAAATGGATCAAAGTATAAAATTAAATAATGGCTAAAAAAGTATAACTACTCTCCAGTTTGAAATCATTTGAAGTTGAGTTTCTAAAATTTTTTATTGGTTTTGAAGATTTTTGAATTTTTTATTTTTTTTAAAAAAATTTAGTCCATATTTTAATTTTATGTCATTTATCTCCAAACGTATCAATCACATAAATAGTTTCATAATGAAATCATTTAATAAAATTTATTTGGGACTTCTAAAAAAAAATTAGGATTATTTTTTATTTTTTCTGATTTTCTATATTTTTAATGTTAAAAAAATAAACAAGTATATATTTTTTTGATTTTGAAAAATTCTCTATTTTTTTTTTTTTTTAAAAATGGATTGTTTTTTTGTCAACATGTATGAAGCAATTTTAGCCCAATTCCATCTCCAATAGTGCATGCCCAATGGGAGGATAAAATTTTCAAAGTTGATCTCAAATCAAGATATCATCGATATTTGTTCTCTTGTGTCATTTTTGCTATTTATGATCATTTTCAAAATTTAATAAACAACATATCCAGTAGTGCATGTCCAAAGGGAGGATAAAATTTTCAAAGTTGATCTCAAATTAAGATATTATCGATATTTGTCCTATTATGTCATTTTTGCTATTTATGATCATTTTCAAAATTTAATAGACAACATAATATTAAAAAACAAACATATCATTTTATTATCACTCGAGTCTTATATATTATGACTTTATCAATTTTATACTTCAAAAGTAATTGATATTAAATGATGTCACCATACCATCCATCTAATATCAATAATGGATCAAATTGAAACTTCACGATCAATTTGCATGTACTTGTTAAAGTGTTTCTATCTAAAACTTTAAAATAAACTCTAATTTGCTATTTATTTTTTTACTATGATTTGATACTAAAATTATATATATATATATATTAGGATTTTTTTTTGATGTTTTAGATTAAAGTACTTAAAGAGCTTGTGCGAAGAGTCTTTAACAGCCATTAAAAGTGGATAATGGAAGGGTGACATATTCTAATCTTGGTTAGGTTTGTAGAAAAATTGATAGAATCTAATATTCTTATTCATTTCTAACAGAATTTGGTACCACTATAAATTAAAAAGAAGAAGAAGAATTAACGGTATATATACTATGTAATTCATTCTTTTAGCACGAGAAAAGCTATTAATTATCTCTCATTTCTTTCATTCCTTCTCACTTTCCCCCTCTTCTACTTGTTATTTCTCTTTCTAATTGCTGTTGATGATTCTCACACAGTGTGATTCCTTTCATCTACTGGATTTGGTGAAAACTTACTTTGTTCTCTTGTAGCTAGCAGTTAATCTTTTAGTTCCTCAGTCATTCATTACGCATCCACTTCAACTGATCAGGTTGCACTTTCATAAAGATTTTCCTAGGTCTCTGTTAGTGAAGCGGACCTGAAGCTACCATTTCGGTGGTAATTTCTAAATAAACACCAAGCACTTCAATTATCCCACTGATGCTAAGTAACTGGTTCAACGTATCGACCTAGTCAAGGAAACCTCATCTCTATGATGGCAAGAAAATTGCACCCTTTTCCGCAAAAATAATGTTAGTGATCAATGGCAAGTAACACCTCGTCTTGTCTCTTGCTGGTGGATGGTCAGGACTGAAGTTGTATAAAAGCTAAATCTAAGTCTATCTTATTAGAAAATAGTATAAATCATATCTTAAAACCTCACCTAATAGTTTAAATTTTTACGTAAAATGATCATTTAATATGATATCAAAGCCTTGCTATCCTAACAGTCAAGAATTCGAATCCTATCATTCCTACTTTCTCTTTTCTAATTAATTAGGCATTAGTAGCGTGAGCCTGTGCAAATTTCAAGTCCAAAGAGCTTTCACTTGAAGAAGTGTATTAGAAAATAATATATATCGTATCTTGAGACGTCATATAACAATTTAAACTATGAGGAGGTACATAATAATATAAACTATATTCTGGATATATCAAATGCATTCCTTCATGGATCTCTTGAGGAAACAGTTTATATGATGCAGCCACAAAGCTTTGATGATGCCAAAAAGCCTACCCATGTCTGCCAACTTAAGAAGCTGTTGTATGGTTTAATGGTTTAAAACAGATCCCAAAGTAATGTTTTCGATGCTTGACTGATCGCTTATGCCATTGGTTTCCAAGGTTCCAAGATTGACATCTCCCTCTACGTTAAGCACACGATAGGTAACATCATCTTCTATCTGATATACGTTGATGACTTGATCATCATAGAAATCATAAACCACTGATACACTCCACTATCCAAGCACTCCAATCAAGTTTTGCAGTCAAACACCTTGGGCCCTTGCATTATTTTCTGAGTATTGAAGTCCATTGGAGTTGCAATGGTATTTTTCTTAATCAACAATGTCGTGTTGCTCAATTATTGGAAAAGGCAAGGATGCATGGTTGTAAGGGACTTGGCACACTAGCTTGTCCTTGTACCAAGTTGTAGGCCACGGGAGGAACATTCTTCTTTGATTCGTTCCTCTATCTCAGTTTAGTTGGCGGCCTACAATATTTGGGAATCACACAGCCTGACTTGGCTTACTCTGTTAACAAAGTTGCCTAATATGTGCACTCCCCTACTGATGATCACTAGTGTGCTGTCAAACGAATTCTTAGGTATTTTACTGCTACCAAATCCCATGAGCTTCATATTCACAAATTTGATCTCTCTTTCCTTAATGCCTTTACTGATTTTGATTAGAGAGGAGATGTGGATGACAAAAAGAGCACATCTGGATATGCTATATATATTGGCAAAAACCTCATCTCCTGGAAGTGTAGCAAATAACGAACTGTTGCTTGATCCTCAACAGAGATTGAATACAGAGCCTTAGTCTCTGCCCGTGCATAACTTGAGATGGTATCAAAGCTTTAATGACCAAACGGTCTTGAGTTCAAATCTTACCATTCTCACTTTCTCTTCTAATTAATTAAGCATAAAGTAGTGTGAGCTTGTGTGAGTTTCAAGCCCAAATGACTTTCACTTAAAAAATTATGTTAGAGAATAATATAAATCATATTTTGAAGTCTCGTTTAATAGCTTAAACTTTTTAATGAAAGATATTTGACATATATATGTCAGAGAAGGGAAAAAAAGAAAAAAAACCTTCATCCCTCATTAATTTTCTGGGAGCAAGTGTTCTAAGTTTTTTTTTTTTTTAATTAATCAAAGGCCTAATAGACCTATTAGGCTACACAATAGGAATAGGTCTTCTTATTATATAATAATAAAAGAAACTGGAGTAAATAGGACTTGAATCTTGTTTCACTAGAAAAGCTAGCTGGATACTCTACAGCTAAGCTAAGCCTGCTTGTGTAGTGTTGTAAGTTTTTCATTGTGATGGCAGGAAAAAAAATTAAAAAAAAAAAGAGAGAAACTGCAAGATGCTTTCCAACAAGTGAACATTTTATTAATTATTCAAAAGTTGTACAGGACCAAGTAGATACAACATGAAATGATAAATTTAGTCTATATTTATTTTCTTAATTCAAATTCCTTAATTACACACCAGTGGAAAGGTTGTTATTGGCCGCATCAAGGCCACCTTCAGAGCCTGTAGTCGTTGACACTAGGCTTCTCATGGAGTCCTTTGGTAAAGAACCTGCCAACATATTCACTGACTAAAACTTCTCTAAACTTCGGAGGATTTTCTTCTGATAACAACTCTTTGATTGGACCGTAGAGCCTGGCAGGTGGAGCAACACGTCCAGCAAAAAATCCTATCACCGAAATTCTTGGCTCAGGACTAGGCAGGACTCTGTGCACGTTGCTCTTGAACTTGTCATTTGATATAATCTGTTTCAATTTAAGGTTCCATTAGTAACACCACGAAATTAGCAGTTACAAGTTTAAGTAATTATGTATCTAAACGTAGAAACCTGGATGAAAAATGTCGCAAATTACCTGGAGAAGGTCACCGATGTTTACTACTAAGCTTCCTGCAATAGGTTGAACATCAGCCCATTGATTATCATGAAGCACTTGAAGACCACCAGTTTGATCTTCTGTGAGAATAGTAAGGAATGTGTTATCGGTATGCTTAGTTACTCCCATAGCCAATTCTGGTTCAGGACATGCTGGATAATAGTGGCATACAAGGGTCCGACCTTTGTTACATTCTATGGATTTTAGGTAGTCTGGTTTGAGACCAAGAGCTTCTGATAGCAATTCAAAGATTGTCTCTCCAATTTTTCCAATTTGATCAATGAACTCCATAGCTTCATCTCTACAAAAGAAAATTAAGAAGGGTTTTTTAGTTAGTATTTTCCATGATAAAAATTAGAAAAATAGTCATAATTGCACAAATGGACGCCAGAAATGGAAGGAATGTCTCGAACTGTATGCATGGTAATGGTTCAAACTATATATAGTTTTACCTGCAAATGGAAGGCAACTCCTTAGGGTCAACATGGTCTGACCTAAGCATGGAAACAGATAATGTGTCCCTCCAATCTGCTCTTTGAGATTGATACAGGTCATAGTTGCTGTTGAATCTCACTCTTCTTGCAGTATCGCGCGAATAGAACTGTTTCTTCACATCAATCTCCTGTTCGTTAAATTTGCGTACTGCCTGTCTCATTTTACTTAACACACTTGGGGGTATCCCATGATTCACCACTTGAAAAAATCCCCACTCCTCGGATGCACTTCGGACTTGATCAATGATCTTCCTGCGTCGATCTGTCAAAAGGCCATTGAGATCAATCACCGGAAACTCAACCTGGGCACGGGGATGATCCGATTCTTCAGCTAGTTCATCTGGGGATCGAATGAACAACTTGGGGATTTTTTCTACCCCCGCATCTACTAGTCCTTGGACACCAAGTTTTGTGTCATCAAAAACCTGAAGTTCCTTTACACGGTTAGAGCCAAATTCGAGTTTAGAATTGTCTATGATTTCCATTTTTTTTTTTTTGGTTCCTCACAGGCAAAAGAAAAGAAGGTGCTAATTAACTTCTATTGCTTCTTCGATTTGGTTTGAACGAGTGGTTCCCCTTATCCATAGACTTATTTATAGGTGCTGCAATTCAATTTCTCTTGTAAACTTTGTTCCCATTGTTTAACTTTATTATTATTTTTTCTCTATCATCCCATAGTTTCGCTTAATTTAAGTTCTAGCCTTTGTTTTTAGTCGCCTGAACAAGGGAAACGGCCATAATACATCGCCAAGAATAATTGATTCTTTTGTGCAGTAGAATACAAGGGCGTAATTTTATCCAAGGATCACAGTAGACAAAAATGTTACTTATCGGAAGAATATAACATACGTTGGAAGGTTCAAAGGTTGTATTTTTCCTCCAAACCAACGTCTAGATCCTCCTCCACTGAAGATGTAAGCACGCCAAGAATCTGAATCAACATTACTTCCCCCTCTCTCTTTTTAATTTGTTTTTTGTGATACCTGTGTATATATTTCACGATTTGATGTTTCAAGGCTTAACACCGGGGTTTTTTTTTTTTTTTTTTTTTTTCCTGGATTCATTCAAAGAGCTTCTGGAAATTTCTTTAGCTGAGGATGAGTTTCAATCTCATGGATATCAAAGGTAAAAAGAGAATATTTTTAACAGATTTTTAATAATGTTTCATTGCCAGAAGGAGAAACATGTAATAAGACACGTATCATATATGGCCAAGAAAGGAAGGATTTTTGGTCTGAATTTCAGTACAGCTCCCGCTCCTTGGTACTGTCACGACGAGACCTATGCCATGAGAGATTCCATCATGAATCTTAGCTAAACAATGCCACGACGAGACCTATGCCATGAGCGATTCGATCCAAACAAGAGTAGCACAACTAAGCGTGCTAAAATCCAAGAAGACGGCTAACTGATGCAAAGCAAAAGCACTTTCATAAAAAAATTGTCACTATCCAAACGGACGCCCTTTGAAACACTAGAGTACTTTGATACCTGATAGAGTATCATAATATTCAAAACCGAGAATACATTATTCCAATCGACACCAAAGAAATGTAGGACGCAATGCGATTTGGCTTGCAGGTTGATATCAATCTATTTTTTTAAAAAAAATAAAAAATAAAAAAAAAAAAATAAAAAAATAAAATCATAATTTCATGAGTTTTTGACCAACAAAATATGAAATAGTCTTCATTTATTACATAAACACCAAAGAAATTTAAAATCACTAGAACTCCAACTTTATCTCATTAAAAAAATTAAGCAAATACACAACCACTAGACTAATCTTACTTGTCACTAAGTTGCAATTGTTCATCAGGTTATGCTTGTTTGGAGGAAAATAAATTCCGGGAACTTATTTTTCTCATTTTTTAATGTTTCTTTTACGTCTAGGAAAAAAGTTAATGAAAAATAATTTTCAATCAAAGAAAAATGATAAAGTACTTTTGAAAAAATGTTTTTCCAGTTTAAAAAGAAGAAAACATTTTTTTTCTCATCGCCTATCTCACGCTCACGTTATTTACTTCTCTCTTGATATATTTTAACAATATTTTTTTCTATTTTCTTTTTATTTAAAATATATCAAATTAATTTTTAATTATGCCTTATCAATTATTATTTATTATTTAATTATTTTTTTCTATTTCTACCGATATTTGATTTTTTTATTTATAGATACATTAAATATTCTTAAAAACCATTTTTACACCTTAAAATTATTTTTATAATAAATATTTCAATAATTTATCTTCATTTTTTTACTAGTATCTCAAATACCACTTACACTATATTTAAATGATTGAAAATGATTATTACAAGACTGTAATTTTTTTGTAAAAAAATTGAAATTAATTAATTCATTAGTAAATACATTATTTTTTTCAATACCATTCATTTGCAACTAAATCAATAATTTGTAATTTTAATCAGTTGTAAAATTTTGTTGATAATTGTAGTGAATAATTAGTTATAAATTATTCCAACATTAATCTTTTAAAACTAAATGAATAATTATCTACAAATGATAACTAATAACTTATAAAATTATTTTTTAGACTAAATTATTAGTTCAATTTTTAAAAGAAAAAAAAATTCTTAATTGAGTTACCAAAATAACAATGCTAGGATAACTTAGAATTTCTTTTTTATATATACTAAATGTGAATATTGACTTGATTTTGTCCTAATTAATTTTGATGAATTGGTTTGATAATTAAAAAAATACATTTTATTTTTTTGAATTAAAATTTTAGAGTCAGTATTTATGAAAATTTATTAAATTTTTCCAAATATATCTTATATTGTGAAATTATGAATATACATTTTTGAAGTTTTCTCAAAACTTGTTGATGTAACAATCATATAATATTTTTGTATTTTAATTTTCTATATCAAACAAATATTTGAATATATTTTTTAGTAGTTTTTCTATGTAATTGTCAAATGATAGAACATATTTTTTTAGAAAACAATTTTCTGAAAAATAGCTTCTTCAATAATTGATTTTCCTATGGAATAGAGCCTCAATAGTATTTAGTTAGTATCATGGATAATAAATGCAAATTCACTCGTCCCATTAACTTTGTGACAATGTTGGTTAGAACTTAGAAGAAACAAAGATGAGTGCTTGCCTCATTATTTCATATATAGAAAAGCAATCCCAAACAACTCATTGCCATAAGCAGAGGTAGAAGACCACTAAACAAACAATAAAAGAGTTTATTTATTTACGTTTTAGATAAATCTGCTTGAATTTTATTAAGCGGCACTAAGCTAGCATCACTTGGTCAGATCATACAAATCCCAGACAGGTCTTTAACGCAGGAATAGAAAACGAAAGGATCAGCCTTAAACAAAGAACAGGCTGCTCACAGGTCTAATAGAAATGTAGACTCAGGAGCCTTATGCGTGTGAAGGACCACATGCTTGCACCAGAACGTATTGCAGAATAATGTCCAGAACGTTAGGAAACCGGAATCTTTTGTATATGATAGACAGCAGCAGTGCAAGTGGATCAAATCAGCCCCAATAAACTGAATGCGCAACAAATAGCTAATAGATAACTTGAGAATTTGGCAACTTGTAATTCCTCAAGCAATAAATCAGCAAAGAGCTTCAACAGACAAATTCTCCAGGCAGAGGAAGATAGGAAAAGAAACAGCGACTTGTCCAGATTCCTCAAGCAGATAGACCATAAGTATCAATCATAGAGATATTCCACAGAACAAAGCCAACCAAAACTTCACAAATCTGGAAAAAAGTACATTGACGTAACAATAGTAGCATTCGAAAGTTCAATGTGCAGAACTACTGTCCACAGTCATCATTCATTCATTATTGGCAATACCATAAAATTGCTCCTTAGGATTTGCTACCATCATAGCTGATAACATAAGAACTCTCATCAACTGGTCTCAAAAAGTGTATTCACTGAATACAACTTTTTAGCACCTAGTAGATTTACTCTTTGATATTAATTCCTTAATTGAACTGTAGGGCTTCTGATATAAATTTACAGCATGAGATATACCATGCCACAGATATTATAGTTCTTCCTCAGTTAGCAAGTAATCACCGGTTTTTTAAGTTTCTCATTTGATACAATGTCATAAGAACATGAAGATCGAACAAATTGTTGTACAAAGTAAGAAGTGGCTTAGCTTTAGCTAGTTGATGCAAACCTGGATGAGGTCTCCCATATTGTTTGCTGCTAAGTCTCCTGGAATGGGATGTATATTAACTCATTAAACTTCCCGAAGTACCTGGAGGCTACAGATTTGGTTTTGCAGCAGAAGTAGAGTCAGGATGCCAGGGTACCCGCCACTCCTAATATCAGGTAGCTTCAGGACATGCTAGATGACAGTGGCGGACAAGGATGGGCTCTACTATACTAAACAAAAAACTCTAAATTGATCAAAGAATATGAATTACCTAACCTAATTCAAACTCCAATGACATGAAGAAGAATTCTCGAGCCCCTGAAATTGGCCTGTTCTATGGAAAACACAGTCTAAATTGTTTCACCAAATTCCTTCCTTTCATCTCCTGAAAGGTAAAATAGATCCAGCATAAAAGAAACATTTGAAAGAATTTGTCACAGTTGATTGAAGATACCTTGCAAATGTGTATCAAGTCTCAACAACCTTGCGAGTAGCTAATAAAGTTTCCAGAAAGCTCCCATTTACACATACTCTGCGAAGGATATGCTTCCACAGAGTTTTACATTGTCCAAACAACTCCAGCCATATAGCTATCAAAGCCTTTCGTGCCAGCCCTTTTAACAACATGTTGCAATATTTTTTGGAGGACTGTAAGCATCTTTATGTCAGTCCTATTTGCACAGCTAACTTCATTTTGAGGCTTATTTGCATTTAAAATATTCTGAGAAAGTCAAACAAGTGACTAATTCCTGTTCAAGTGCACTCAACAAGAGAAGGTCCATGCTCCAGAAAAATGTACTACAACCTCAAGTAACAGAAGCATTTTCTACATTCATATCCCAATTCACACAGAATTAATCTTCATGCAGAAAAAGAAGCTAAAAGAGCACACAATAGCTTACAGCATACTTGTATTTCTAGGACTTTTCCATTCATATTACGAGACATCGTCGATGAACATTCAATGAGAACCATTAAGGAAGCTGCCAATCTTCTTGTATTTCTGAGGTTACCATCACAGCTTGAAGTGTGGAAGAGCAGAATTCCCATCTAGTCCTTTTGAATCATAGTAGGCAGTAAAGTCTTTCACAGTGGTTTCACAGTATATAGGGGGATTTTCTTCTGACAGCAATTCCTTGATTGGGCCATACATTCTTGTTGATGGGTAAAGATGTGGAGTGAAGAAGCAAGCCACAGATACTCTAGGGCCAATACGATTGGCCAACACCCTGTGCTCTACACTTTTGAACTTGTCATTAGATATAAGCTGCAATTTCACAAGAATCCTTTGAAATTAGTTTACTATCATATACAACTAACTTGTTGGCTGCTATGTGTAACTCTCATGGTGATTCAACTCAGTGAAATGCATAGTGCTCAGTTTAATAAATGTTAAAGTAGAAGCTTCACTCATGTCCCATTCGAAATATGCTGAAACTTGTAAATGACTAACACCGCACCAAACTTATAGAGCTTAAATTACAGATTGATACACAATAAAGAAAGAGGCAAATTAAGGGGATCGCAATTCAATTTAACCAGTGCTTGCCTGTAAAAGATCTCCAATGTTCACGACTAGAGCTCCATGAACAGGGGGAACATCTATCCAACGATTCTGATGAAAAATTTGGAGTCCACCGATATAGTCTTGAAGTAGGATGGTGAGGAAATCAGGGTCAGAGTGCTTTGTGGTGCCAATCGCCAACTCTGGCTCCGGGCATGCTGGATAATAGTGACTCAGGAGAGCATGTCCTTTCGCACAATCCATCTCTTTGAGGTGCTCAGGCTTGAGTCCAATTGCCTCAGATAGTAACTCAAACAAAACTGTCGCTAATTTGCAAACTTTGTTTGAATACTCCATTATTATATCTCTGCAAATTCAAACTAAAAACACATTACTATACTTTGAAAAGGTTCATTTCTATGATTTGATGGTTTTGTGTTGCATCAAATCACGTGGAACTTTGATTTAAGATATGAATACCATGCCAAAAGAAATCCTCTATGTTTCTAATTGCAGAATTTGGAAATGTTGGGTCCAAATCATCAATATAAAAAGTAAAAAGAAAATCAAAAGACATACAATTATAGTCCATTAAATACATGCGGATTAGTTTAGTATAAGTATAAACTAACCTGCAAACTAGAGGCAACTCTTTTGGATCAAGTGGGTCTGGTCCCATAACACAAAACAAAGTATCCCTCCAATTAGCATACTTTGACTGGTACAAATCAAAATTACTAACATACTTCACCTTCCTCATCATCTCTCTGCTATAGTACTCCTCCTTTACTTCACTTGGCTGCTCGTGGAACCCGCGCACCGCCTCTAACATCTCCTCCAACACCCTATTTTCCATACCATGGTTCACCACCTGGAAGAACCCCACTTCCTCTGCTGCCCGCCCAACTCTGGCCACCGCCTCAGCTCTTCTATTCTCAATGTTCTTAAGGTCTATGACAGGAATGGTGAATTGGGTATCGGTCAATTCGCCGGAATTTTGGCAGGCGGCGGCGATATCCTCCGGTGGCCGGATGAAAAATCGCGGTATTTTGGTGATGCCAGCATCGACGAGGCCTTTGACACCGGATTTTGATTCATCAAAGGATCTGATTTCCTGGTAACAGTTGTAGGTAGCAGAAATTCCGGTGGTCGTATCTGCGGTGACGGACATTTTATATTATTTACTAGTACTTACTAATTATAAAAAGAAAGATGTCTTTTTGGATTTTCTAAGTTAGCGAGCAGTTTGCGAAGATTTGGTGAGGTTGGTAATAGTGCGGTGCACTTATTGAGCACGCATTTGTTTTTTTTGGGTACAAAGGATGGAGGCAGAGCTAATGCCCCAAGATACAATCATTTTCTGATTCCAGACTCGAAAAAGAGTATCATTCGAAGAACCAACACCAACACCAACACGGGCGAGGTGATCAGCACCTCGGTTGAGCACGCATTGTTTAGGTACAAGATAAGGGCTTATACTGAAAAGAAAAAGAAAAAAAGAGAAAAAAACAATAATATATATATATATATATATATATATATATATATATATATATATATAGTAAAAAAAAATAGAAAAACAAGATTAAAAAAAAATGACATACATCGCAATCCTTTGAAACTCACAATATGATTTATAAATATTTTATTTTATATTTAAAATTTATTTGTTATTATAGAAATAAATTTAAATTCATAAAAGATATTTTGAATAAAAAATATTTTTATCTTTTTTTTTCTGTCAGTTTTTTCTGTTATATTCAGTTTTCAAATATATATATATATATATATATAGTAAAAAAATAGAAAAACAAGATTAAAAAAAATTGACATACATCGCAACCCTTTGAAACTCACAATATGATTTATAAATATTTTATTTTATATTTAAAATTTATTTGTTATTATAGAAATAAATTTAAATTCATAAAAGATATTTTGAATAACAAATATTTTTATCTTTTTTTTTTCTGTCAGTTTTTTCTGCTATATTCAGTTTTCAAAGAGAATATATATATATATATATATATATATATATATATATTATCTTTAAAATTAAATATGCATATAAAAATATATGTCATTTAAAAACCTTAACTCAAAAAGGTAATAAAAAGATGAGTTTAAAATAAAATCAAATGTAAAAGGACAAATTGAGGGGGGGGACCTTAAAATAGCACACTAAAGAAGAAAAAAATAGAAAAATTAGTGCAACTATTAACCCAAAACGAAAAACAAAAGGAAAAAAAAAAAAAAAGGACCTTGAGGTTGTAGAAAATGAGTGTCAAAAAAAAAAAAAAGGAAATTCGATGATTTTTATGAAAAATATATAAGTTGTTTGTGTTTCATTTGATTATTTATCAATTTTAATTAATGACACTACTGAAAATTCAATGATGTTAGAGACTTAATTGAGACAAAAAATAAGTTGAGAACCTAATTGAGATTGCTCTTATACCTTTCAGCTTAGGGGGAGAGTTTTTTTTTTTTTTTTTAAATGCTAAGGGCTCGTCTTTAGAGTTAGAAAAAGCTTAGAATGTCCATATGATTTGAGCACGGGCATCCTATCTAGCTTAGGTAATACTATTTGTAGGGTCCAGGTTTAGCGAATGTGATAGCCATATTAGCCCATGGCCATAGGTATTGTTGGAGTTAATTTTAAATTAGTTCTTAGTTTAAGAAAACTAATTAATTAATTGAATGCACATTAATTGGTAGCTCATCCAGTACTGACCATAATTGCAGACAACCGTCACCTTTTCATTGATCAATTCTATTGTGCTCTGCTTCGAAGCCAAGATCTTCTCATGGTAACTCAAACACAGAGTCCATCAAAGTTTTGATATGTTGGATGTACTCCAACGTTGCAAATTTAAGCAGATAATACAAGAGACATCTCAGGTTAATGGTTGCTTAATGGATAGCCACAAAGGTCAACATTTACGAGAGAACAGAGGATATGCATGTTATATACATTAACAGGAGAAATGGATTTCGTAAAATAATCCACCATTCTGTTGAGCGCTGAAAACTGCGCATCTAAAATACAGCTCTGTAAGTTAAGAAAGACATATCCATTATATAGTAGTCAAACTGATGGTGAAACATTATAGCTTCGCTTCTTTGGAGGCCTCCAATTTGGTCCTACAAAAAGGCATTGAGACATGGCATCCAAGGTTTTCGCAAGGCTGAAGAAAGTTTATTGTACTAATCAAAGTTGGGGTACAGGTAACCTGTTAACTAGGTTCAGAGAGTCCAAGACTCTGGATTATTATTCACAACGGCGGTGACTTATTTGTAAGGACCTAGGCCCATGGATAATTTTATCCTCTTCCCTGCTGTTTTAAAATTTAAGAGACTAACTTCATATCTTCAACTGGCTTAATTTGGAGGCCCCATCATGGCCAGTCAAGTGTTTGAGCGCAATAAAGTCCTTCACAGTAGTTTCCCTGTAGACTAGAGGATTTTCTTCGGACAGTAACTCCCATACAGCTTTAAGGTCTCAGGCGAAAGATGTTGCCTGAAAATGCATGCCACCGAAATTCTCGGACCAACATTTTTCGCTAGCACTCTGTGATGGACGCTGATAAATTTATCGTTGGAGATTAGCTGCAGAGCTATGAAAACCGAAAACACAAAACAAAAATTCTGTTATTACGTTTTAATCAATTGTATATGCAAGTGTGATGCGTCCGATAATGTAAAATTGGATAAATGTTGTAACATGAACATGCCTGAAACAAGTCTCCCGCATTTACTACTAGAGCTCCTGGTGCGGGGGTCACATTGACCCATTGATTTTCATGGAGAACTTGGAGGCCACCAATCTGATCTTGTAGAAGCAAGGTAAGGAAGCCACTGTCGGCATGTTTTCTAGTGCCTATAGTCAATTCTGGTTCAGGACATGCTCGGTAGGAATGACCCAGAACATAAAGTCCCTCTGCACAACCAATGTCTTTAAGATGATTGGGTTTGAGCCCCAGCGCTTCAGATAACAATTCGAATAGAGTGATCCCCAATTTCATAATTCTTTTCGAGTAATCAGTAAGTATATATCTGCTTTAATTATTGATGTTAATTTGTGTTTGTTATCACTTAAACTATGTATAAAAAAGTTCCCAAAAAAAAAAAATCCGGACAGAGAAAAGATAAACAATACCTGCATATTGGAGGGATTGCTTCATGATTTGGAGGATTGGGTGCCATAACACAAGTCAAACTATCTCTCCAACTAGCTGCTGGTGCTTGGTACAAATCAAAATTGGAATTGTAAAGAACTTTCTTGGTGTAATCGCGAGAATAGAACTCTTTCTTTACCTCGACATCCTGATGGTGAAATCTATGTATCCCATCAATCATCTCCTCTAATATGTTGCTTGGAATTCCATGATTAACCACCTGAAAGAAACCCCACTTCTCGCAAGCACTTCCAAGTTTCTCAATTATGTTGTGTCGTCGAGTTTCATCTTCATTCCAGCCTTCAATATCTATGATTGGAATGCTGAAGTTGGGTTCAAGAGAAGCAGGCCTATCATCAAGCTTAGTGCGTTGCTCCTGGATGAGTATACGGGGAATCTTTGTCACTCCAGCATCCACAGCCCCCTTTACGCCGGCTTTTGTGTCATCAAAAGCCTTTAAATCCCTTTGGCGATCATAATCAGAATCATTTTCTGCCTGAATTCGGCATGCCGCCATTTTCTTTTATTTTTTATTTTCCCTATACGTGGTAGCAAGTACAATCGAGATGGTTTAACTTGATGGAAAAAAAGTACTATAGCAGCTAGGACATTTTAGGAGGAGCAGATGGGATGCTAAAAATGGTGCTGGAGTTGGGTTTAAATAACAGTTAATGTTGGTTGGTGTTGATAAGCATTTGGTCAGATGTATTAAGAAAATCCAATGCCTAAAAATAAAAGGATAAAAAAAGTAAATTCAATAATTAAAAAGATCAGCTGGAAATTGCATCTTACAATATTTATTGAAAGACTAATTGGTTCTATAGTATTCTAAACTTTTGGTCGGATAGAGATTGATATCCGAACTTTAATATTTTCAATTTAAGTTCTAAATCTTTTTTTTTTTTCTAAGTTTATAATTGAATTCACTTTTTCTGTTGACTAATAACTCATGTAATTTTTTGCACATGATGGTAATATATCCCAATAAATAAAAGACATGTTTATGTTATGTCACATGATATGGTTGAACAACCTAATGAAATGAAATGATAAATTACTCTCACCTGTAAATTAAAACAAAAATGAGACTCAAAAACAAATTACCTCCACTAGTCATAGCCACCATCTTCTCAAACTCTCTTGCTATTGCCACTGTCTTTTCAAACCCTCCTCCGACTAAACCTTATTGAAACCCTTCAAGCCTTTAACTTCACTAGTCGCCTAAACCTCTTAAACACCATCGAGACCCATTAGCCACTACAACCCTTTTGACTAACCTTCTCCTACAATCAAACCCAATGCCGACCACAACCCTCAATCTCTTTCAATCAAACCAAACGCCAGCCATTACAATCTTTATAGCCACCATCTTATCCGACCAAACAACATCGAGACTCACAAGCTATTACGATCGTCTTGATAATCCCTCATTTCCGATCAAACCCAACAACAACCTTAACTCTCCCTCTTGACCATCCCTCTCTTCCGATCAAACCCAACAACAACCATAACTCTCTCGACCATCCCCTCCTCCAATCAAGACCCAACACCAACCACTACGGAACCAAAGTTTTCAGCAATTTTTCATTTTGCTTATTTGGACAAATATTTTAGATCTATTAGAAAAAAAAAAGACCTTTATTGAAATTAGGCAAGAGATTAGGTAAAGATTTTAGATTTGTTAGGAAAAGAAAAAAAAAGTTCTTTATTGAAATTAGGCAGGAGATAAGGAAAAATTTTTAGATTTGTTTGGAAAGAAAAAAAATCTTTATCAAAATTAGGCAAGAGATTAGGAAAAGATTTTAGATTTGTTAGGAAAGTGAAAAAAAAAAAAAAAAAAGGACAATGATCTTTATTAAAATTAGGTAGGAGATTGGAAAAAAAAAACAATAGATTTATTAGGAAAGAAAAAAAATGATGTTTATCCAAATTAGATAAGAGATGAACTTTATAATTAATAATATCTTAACTAAAAATATTCTTTTCTTTTTAAACAGCTTATTTTATTATTATTATTATTATTATGATGCATATAACATGTGTTTAGGTTTGAGAATTTAATTTAGGTTTTGATTTTTTTAGTCATTTCACCATTACGTGTATATCACATGTCCTCGGATGTTAATCAATGAAAAAGATAAACTTGATAACAAAAAAAAAGTTATTTAAATTAAAAAAATTAAAATTTGGATACTAGTTTTGTTTGAAAGAAAGTTCATGATACTATAAAACTAATTAGTCTTATTGAAATCAAGTACTCCAAGTCAAGGTTATAAACACGTTTATCTTAAATTAGATTCTAGATTATTATTAAGGCTACTCGAAGTTGTCCATCGGTTTCTTTAGAACAAGATCCTCTATTTTCTTAACTCTTACAGTTCTTTTGTGATGATTGGGAGGTTTGTTTGCACCATATTTACCAAAAAGATAATTTTTGTGTGGATTGGTTGGTTAACCAAAGCCTTTTTATGGCCATAGGAATGTATTTTCTTGTTTATCCTTTTATTGAACTTACCTATCTCTTGTATCGGGATCATGTAGGGCTAGATGTTGTAGTTTTAAATTATGCGATTGAAAGAAAGATTGTGATTGCTATCATAAGTCACGGTTTCTCACGGTAATATAATAACGATTGCGACAATCGATGTCTTGAATACATTAGCCATTATTAATAAATTTATTTTAATTCATAAATTTTTTACGGTTTTACTAATTAATCATACTAATAACATCTCTAATAGTTTAATATCAAACAACAATAGTTGAATTTATTACAAAAAAAATTAATAATATTAATAATAAATTAATATCACATAAAAAATAATAAAATAAATTACAACTTCAATATACACTTTATAAAATATTCATATCCAAAAGGATCGTTGTGAAAGATCATAATAATAGTTATCATCCCGTTATTGATGCTCGTGATCCTTGTCCATCCACTATATATATAAAAGAAAAAGCTAAGTAGCGACAAACATAAAGTTTTCGGTATACGGCGATAGATTTACAATGAAATAACAACCATTACCAATTAGGGTGGATAGCGATGGACTACCGACTAATAAATGATGAAACACTTTTTTCATTGAAAAACACAATAAATTTTTAGCGGTTGTATCAGCAATAGATTACCAACTCGATTTGCAATCGTTTTTAGTGACATAATAGATTTTGTTGATAATTAAAGGGAAAATGGCAATACATTTAGCGACGATTATTTTTCATCCCTATTCAAAGGAAAAATGGCTATACATTTAGCTATAGATTACTTTTTGTCGCTAAATAAAGGAAAAATGATAGTACATTTAGCAACAAATTACTTTTCATTGCTAATTAAAGAAAAAATGGCAATACATTTAGTGACGAATTGCCTTACGTCTCTAATTAAAGAAAAATGGCGAGTACATTTAGCAAGATTTTAGATTCTATCACTAATTAAAGGAAAATGGTTGCACATTTAGTGATGAATTAGATTTCGTACCTATTTAAAGGAAAAAATGGTAGTACATTTAGCTACAGATTACTTTCCATCATTAATTAAAGAAAAAGGGCGAGTACATTTAGCGATGAAAATTTTGTTGCTAATTATAGGAAAAATGACGAGTATATTTAGTGATGCACAACTTTCCATTGCTAATTAAAGGGAAAATAGTAATATATTTAGCAATGAAATAATTGGAGAAAAAATATCCAAATTTCAAACAATGATGGATATTTAATTTTTAGCGATTGACTCGCATCCGTCACTAGAAGAAAATCCATAAATCTTGCAGCCTTATTCTTCTTCCTCAATTTTCTTGTCTTCCCTCACTCTAGCCTCACCTTTCCCCTTCCTTCTTCCTTCGATGAGCTCCTCCTTCGGTCGTGTGCCTCCTCCTTCTTCACCTTCTATTTTTCAGCCCCTCTCCTCTTCTTCGATAAGTATTTGTTTTTTAATTTATTCAATAATAATTAGTATTTTTTTTAGGGTGGATCTCTAGTGGCCTCTTCTTTTTCGACGCCTCCTCCTTCTTCCGGGTATGTTTTTGGTTTTTGTTTTTTTTAGTTAACAACATTTATTATTATTTCTTTTATTAGTTGTTATTTTTAGTTTAGTGTATGTTCTTTGATGTTAATTAGTTGTAAATCTAATTATTATTTTTAATTAATTATCTTAATATAAATTAATTTATGTTAATTAGTTATGCTAATATAAATTAATTTAAGTTAATTAGTTGAGATTTTTTTTTTGTATTTTTTCTTATTTTTAATAATAGTTTTTCAATTTTTTATTTTTATTTCTATTAGTTAATTAATTCTAATTAACTATTGTTTACCATATACTTATTTATGTTAATTAGAAGTAAATGTAATAATTTAAGTATAATTAATATTTTTATTAGTTGTTAATTAGTTGCAATTATTAATTTTATTAGTTTTTTTCATAAGAAAAAATAATTCTTATATTAGTTAGTTTGTTTTTGGGGTTAATTAATTAGTGTGGCATATTTAATTTGTTATTTTTATTTTGAAGCACTCATATCCGATGGTAAAACATTGGGCACCACAATCTTCTCTTCGAATGGTACTTCTATCGATTCATGTTTTTTATTTATCCATTTTTAAATTTGAATTTTAGTTGATATGTTAATTGTAGTTTATGTGATTTAAGTATAGTTATCATTAGGGTGACCCCTAGGGATATGATGACTTAGGAGAATTTATCGAAAAAGTACAAGGTCGGTGTCAATGCTTAACAATGGAGTTGGAATGATGAGAATAGTGCTATCTTTTTTTTGTTTTTTATCCGAGAAAAATGTTGATCCTAGTGCAATATAATTGATTGTTTGCGTGGCTTATTTATTTGGTGTACTTGATAAAATAGTAATTTAGAATACTTTAGATTCATTTGCATGTTGATATTACTAGTCGATGATTCCTATAAATGGACTATGGTGCATGTATGTATTTTAGAGTTTTTTTCTTCTACGTAAGTGGAGTCTTCAATAATTGTAAAATATCTAATTTACAGGAGAGCCTCGCTAAAATTTTATTAGATTTTTAGAAACAAATGTATAAAACCTTTAAATTATGTCCAATGCATAATTGGGAAATAATGGTAATTAAGTAATTGTGTTGGATCAACTATGGAGAAGGAAAAAATGAGATCGGGTCATGCATAGATTGACTTTAGATAGATGTAGATGATGCAATAGCTATTACGAAAGATGCAAACTCGCATTGACCTACCCATCCCTCCTTCTTACCCTCCCACTACCCAAAAACCGTAGGATGATTATGATGATTATATAGACTAGCTGTTTTTTATTATTTTTATACACTAAAATGCATTTGTATATTTTTTGTTTAATTTTTTATTATTTTATTTTAACTTAATAATATTTCATGTTACAATTTCATATTTAGTTGTTTGAGACTACAATTAAACATTAAACAACTAATAATGATTTTTTTAAAAAAAATACATTTCCTATATTAGTGATAGATCAACAACTAAATAAAAACAAAAAA